CTGCCATTGGCTCCGCGAGCTTCCTGCCGCCCCCTTCCCCGAGAGCGGCCTCACGCACGCTCGCTGTCGTCTTCCTCCCGCCCAGCCACCACTCCTTCGAGACTATTGGCTACTTCTGACCCCACCCCCTTCAATGCCTCTCGCGGATAGGCTGAAAAATGTGCCACTCGCCTCCCGTCGTTGTTTCGGGTTTTCGGAAGGGGCGCTGGAACGCGATTGGTTGGTGATGGAACCCTTGGGCTCCAGCTGAACGGGGCTTGGCGCCCCGCAGTGCGGACCCCTGTGGGGGAGGACGGGTGGGCTGCCGGGGTCCAGGCTCGGCGTGGCTGGGGCCAGAGTGACTAGTATAGTGCCCTAGACGTAAGGGTTTAGCCCCTGGAAAACGGGGCTTCGTGTTTCTCAGTTCAGATTTTTGTCTTCTCTGTAAAAAAAGAAAATGACTGACAGGATGACAAGCACGCAAGATGCAGGCTCATAGCCCTGGGCAAGCAGCCATATCTCCGCCACTGCAGGACTTTTCTCTAAGCCGCCAGGCCTTCCCTGGGGTCACAGAGTTCCCGCCAGCTTGCCTCCCAGCCCGGGACCTGGATAGCGTGCCATTCATTTGAGGGCTTGTAAGCTTCCCGTTGCCCTTTATGAGACAGCCTCTTAGGACGACCTGTCCCGTGTCCTGAGGCCTTCTCCACGCCACCTCCAGCCTCGAGGGCATTGTTTGCCAAAGGGGCAGTTTGGAAGGGAACAGTCTACCTGCCCAACCTTTTCCCCGGGGAATCGAATCACGCTGATAAGCATCATTTCCTTTAAGCAAATTTCATTTTCCTTCCATACTTCCATCTGGAAGTAGCAGACCACGGGAATAGCTGAAACCCGAACTTTTCCTAAAATAGATGAGAAAAGAAAAAAGGTGATACTCTCCCACCACAACACCTTTGAAATCTCCCTTTGGCCATGGGGGTGAGGGGAAGGAAATTACACCAGAAGTTCTTCATTTTAACAGGCTTGGTGTGTTTCTCGTTGGTTTGTCTTTTGAGGGGCAGACCATTTGAGTAGAGTGAGTAGCTCTTAAACTTCTTGAGACTAGCCCTGGGTTTCAGTCCGAGACTCCTGAGGCCTGGGAGTAGTACCAACAGGCCCCTCCGTTTAAAACCCGCACAGCTGTTCGTCTCAATACGGGTCTCAGACAAGAAACTAAATCTGCAGCTGTTCTATGCAACATGACCTCTCCCCTTGGCAATATAAATCTGATTTCAAGTGGGTCCCCCTGAAAGAGTGTTTTTTTAGCTGAAGTTAAACTTTCTGCATTTCAGTCTAGCTTTGAATATCATAGACCTGCAAAAAAGCTATATTCTCAGACAGATCCACCCTAGATTCTCTTTCTTTACTCTTCCTGGTATGATCTTGCTGTGCTCTTGTTCACACTTTCCCCTCCTACCACTATCTGAAATCCATCTATGACTCTGCCTTTCTAGAGTCATCCCCAAGTAATTCTGTGCCAACACGGCAAGCCCGAACAGGCCTTTACTGAAGATTGTCATGACTGGCAAATGTGTTAGCTACAGCCAAGCATTGTTCTAAGCCCTCAAACTCGTTGGTCACACAACAGCCTCTAAAAGGTTATTATCCCTGTGTTTTTATTTACCTAGTAAGAAACAGGCACAAAGAGTTGCACTTCACCAGGGTCATACTGCTAAGAAATACCGCAGCCAGGATTGAGCCGGGATGGTCTGGCTCCAGACCCCAACCTCTTCTACCTCTGCCAGTTTCCTTTTGAAAAAGGTTCAGGTTCTTGCCAAATATCTTCAGTTGGGGGTCTTCCTGGAGGCCTAGGGGTTAAATCTCAACACTATCACTGCAAAGGCCTGAGTTTGATCCCAGCCAGAGAGTGACCCACATGGCGCAGCAAACCTCTCCAGTTTCCCCTCTGCTCCCTCAGCAGTGTATTTCAGTAGATTTGCCTGTTCTGCTCCCCACTCTGTCTCTGGTGAATCCTCTCACTTCACACCTCTGGCCTACACCCCAGTTCTTGCATGCATCAATAAACTAATAAATCTTTAAAGCAACAAGACAAGTTCATTTGGTTTTCTGTGTTGTGGAGCACGCCTCCCCTTCTCCCTGAAGTGTTCTGTCAGCATTGGGCCCTTTCCATTCTAACTCAAAGGCCAGAACTGGGCCCCACCCTATAGCCCTCAGCCTACAGGCATGCCACCTGGCAGCCACATAGCTCTTTTGTTCCTTCTTTGATCATAGGTCCCCACCGTTCAACTGTGGGGTGACACCTCCTGTGAAACTACACAGTGGGCGGCTTATAGACGATGGCTTTCTTCTCCCAAACTCACATCACACAGGGCAGCCTCTTCGGAGGAGGCGCTGATGTGCCCGCCATATTGAAACTTCACCCCCCATCACACAGGACAACCTTCATTCAATTTTGCCTTCTCTACGGCATGTCTGTAGCCATCTTTGCTAAAGCTAGATGAGCTCTGGGCTCAAGTAAAAGCACCTGACACCTGGCCAGTCCCTACTTATCCCTCCTCCATCCCG